TTCCATTGAGTTGATTCCAACTCATAGCAACCCTATAGGACTGAGTAGAACTGCCCCATAGAGTTTCCAAGGAGCAGCTGGTGGATTTCAACCACCAGATTTTTGGTTAGCAGCTGTAGCACTTAACCACTACACCACCAGGGTTTCCTAAGGAGTCAACAGGCTATGTTTAAAGCTGACAAATCTAGAAAAAGAGGGGTACGATCTTATCAGTTAGAGCTCTGCTTTAAGATGTCTGACCTCCAATCAAATTAGTAACGTGAGATCATGTTTTAAACTGCTTTTTTCACTCTGAACACATAGACGCTGTACTTAATAAAAAGAAAAATCAATTTCTCTATGAATCAGGAAATGAAAGATAAATCTGAGGTAAAGAAGACCTGAAGTCAGGAGCTTGCTATGCTTAAAGTCTGGAAGTAGGCAGAAGTAGCTGAAGCCTGACTAGTGTAGAGTACCAGGGACAAAAAACATACCCCTAACATGGCCCAAGAGTCTACATTTCTAATAAGCTCCAAAGTAATGCACTGTTGCTGGTCCATAGATGACACTTTGAATAGCATAAGACTCAAAAAACTCATTCCCATCTAGTCAGTTCCAACTCATAGCGACCCTATAGGACAGCGTACAACTGCCCCATAGGGCTTCCAAGGAGCGGCTGGTGGATTTGAACTACCGACCTTTCGGTTAGTACCTAATGCGTAACCATTGTGATGTAAAAGAAAGTGTATAGATGAGTCTTATAAAACAAATTTACATCAAATTTGAGTATTAAAATTACAGGAAATCTCAAAATACTGGTTTCTCTTCATTTTCAGTCAGAGAAACAAAACAAAACTACTCCAGAAAAAAAAAAGGAGGGCTAATGTGGGATTTCATAAACTCAAGTAAGCTTCTGGGGAAAATGTGGTCATCATTTTCCATTTTCCAATCGCATGCAAAACAAGAGTTCCAGGAGATAACAATGAATGGTTTAATGTAATAATTGTATTGGATTTCTTACTTGTCTTAACAGCCTAAGCGACGTATGTTTATTAAAAATCTTCACAGCCACTTCTTCTCCTCCATAGGCAGCTCGATAAACGGATCCAAAACTGCCATCACCTTTTGAAAAAAAAAAAAAGTACAAAGTACTTAAAGTAATCTGCTCAAGCAGAAAAACTAAATAAAATATACCTACTGAAAAGAAATCTGACCTACTTGTTTCATTGAATCAAATCTGCTCTAATACTATCTCTTCCTTCTTCTACTCCCTGAACTAAGATATACCTAAAGATTTTGTCCCCAGCCTCCCAGTCTCCTCTCTACACTCCCACTCAATTATGTCATCTATTCTCATGACTTCATCTTTCTCTATAGCCAGAGACTTCTCACATTTTCATTTATAGCCCCAATCTATCTCCTAAATTCTATTCTGCATTTGTAATTTCGTGGAGTTTTCCACTGGCAAGTTCTTTCAAATTGTAATCACATTCCATCAAAAGCTACATTCATCATTATTTCTTCAAACCAATTTTTATTCCTACTTCCAAATATCTGATAAAAACAAAACAAAACTTTTCCCTGTCATTCTGGACTCAAAATCCAAGAATTACCTTTAACTCCCTGCCCCATGCTTAGCCCCACAGTTAATTGGGGCATACTTTGCTGCCTCACTCCCACCCACGCCTTCCTTTCTATCTCCATGGCCAGCCCATCAATTTGGTGCCTTTAGTTCCTTCTGCCTAGACTGTAGAGGTCTCTCAAATTCATTACTTCCAATTCATTCTACACTCTCCTGCCAAATTAATTTCACATAATTCCACTTTGATTGTGTTGCTGTCTTGCTCAAAAACAAATTATTTTAATAGCCTACTAAATAAAATCCAAATTCTGCCTCATATTTATCATGTGGTTCCAAATTCCCTTTCTAGTTCTCATTCTCACTCTCCTTCTCATTTTCTAGGCTCTGTCCAGTAGTTCTCCTCCCAGTCCCAGCTGTACAATGCATCTGAGGAGCTTTTTAAAAATACTAATATCTAGGCTCCATCATCAAATATTCTGATTCAATTAGTCCCGGGAGGGGATAGGCATTAGGGTTTTGTCTTTGTTTTTCTCTTTTAGCTCTCCAGGTGGTAGTAATAAACAGCCAGGGTTGAGAACCACTGCTGTAGACAAACTGAAATAGTCAAAATTTCCTAAATATACTTTGTACCTTCTGCTTTCCATACCCTTGCTTATGTTATTCCTTAAATGGCTCTGCTATCTCATCCTCTCAACCTTTCTGGAGTTTATCAAGACAATAAGGACCAATACCTATAGTACTTCCTCTGAGAAACTGACCATGATCAATCTCATGGAAGTCACTCTCCACTGACATACAGTAAATCGTTATTAGTACAATATTTATACTTGTAAAGTGCCTCGAAATGTAGTTGCTTGATGTATGGAATTAAATGAACACACACAAAAAAATAGAAGGAAATATACAATATTAAAACTTATTATTTCTAAGTGGTGAAACTATGCATCTCCAAAAAAAAAGGTATTTTTAATCTCTGTAATTAAGCATATAAAAACATACATTCTTTTATGCTTAGAAACATGTACATTAAAAATAAAAAGGCAAATTACTGATTTGAATATATGTCTTATACCTTCTACTAGACTGTAAACATGTTGAAAATATTATCTGTGTCTTGTTCATCTTACCAAACTTCTATCCTGTCCTTCCAGCACTCAATAAATATTGAACTTTTAAAATCATTCATTAATGCCATTAGCATCAAGAGTTGAAGGGAGAATGAAAGCTGTAGGAACAGTTCAGTATTGGCATTAGAAATAGGATTGAGTAAAAAGTAGAGGGAAGAGAGAAAGAAAGCAAGTAGAGAGGGAAGGAAGAGAATGGGGAGAAGAGATGGAAAGCTAAAGAACAGATGCATCCTGCTCTGGGTCCCCTCAATCCAGATAGCAGCCTACAATGAAGAAAAAATTTAATGGAGCAAAGAGAAGAAACACAATCTAGGAAGATATATCAGAATTTCAAACGGTAGAAGCAGAGATTTTTGTCTTTGAGAATCACTGTCATACCAGTCCCTGGAGAAGGACATCATGCTTGGTAAAGTACAGGGTCAGCAAAAAAGAGGAAGACCCTCAACAAGATGGATTGACACAGTGGCTGCAACAATGGGCTCAAACATAGCTACAGTAGTGAGAATGCCACAGGACCAGGCAGTGTTTCATTCTGTTGTACATGGGGTTGTGATGGGTTGGAACTGACTTGACAGCACCTAACAACAACAACAGAATAGAACAGAATAGGCAGAATAGAACTGCCTTACAGGGTTTCCAAGGAGCGGCTGGCTGGTGGATTCGAACTGCCGACCTTTTGGTTAGCAGCAAACTCTTAACCACTGCATCACCAGGGCTCCATTAATGCTTCAAAATAATTTTTGTAAACATTTTTATATACACTGCTTAAACACATGTCTGTTAATCTGAAACATATCTTAATGCAGGAAAAAGGGATTTTTTTGGAAGCTGTGCCTGACAGTTTTGGGCTCCTTCAAAGAAGTATACACCATGTCTGTTACTTGTATGTAAGATCTAGGATTCGACTTTAACAATCCAACATTTTGTGTTGCTTCAATATTACTAATATATTTACTTTCAGAGTCCAAGAGCATTTAAATTTATTCTAAAAGTTTCCCAGTCAACGTGAAGAGTTACAAAGGAATTATTTATATGTCATGTTCCAAATGCTGAATAATTTTGGCTAATAATGTTATATCCTCATGGATGGATTTTAGGTATTCTCTTCATAATAATTTAGTTAAAATTAAATGTAAACATAAACAACAACAAATTCCACACAAAATAAAGGCAGAATGTTCTTCAATACTTTACATTAAATCAACTGAGTGCTCTTAATAGTCTTCGCAATGACTCCCAGGAATGTTTAGAACTTGACTATGGACCCAGTTTAAAGCTTCTGATATTTTTAATCCCAATTTTTTAAAATAATTTATTTTATTTTTGTTGTTGTTGAGAATATACACAGGAGAACACATACCAATTCAACAATTTCTGCATGTGAAATTCAGTGACATTGATTACATTCTTCAAGTTGTGCAACCATTCTCACCCTCCTTTTCCAAATTATTCCTCTCCCATTAACATTAACTCACTGCCCCCTAAGTTTCCTACCTAATCTTTTGAGTTGTCGTCATCAACCAAATTGTTTATTTAATGATTATTTTTATGAGAATTCAGCATTGTCATACTGAGTAACAAAATTGCTGTTATGAATACACAGAGGTGCTCTATTATAAGGTGCTTTATTTATTTATTCTGTTTAAGGCTGAAAAATGGCTGCTTTACATAACTCAATAAAAAATCCCCTTATCTGCCTCCCTCATCCCTGGCAATTAAAGTTAATGCAAGGACCTATTTCAGAAATATTTGTGCTTCCATGATAGCACATGTTCATCTCAATCCTAGTTTACACGAGTCTATAGAAAGTAATTCCAAATTTATAAGATGGTACCATTTTAAAATATATTATTCCAACTGAAAAACATTATAAACAAATATATGAAGACGCTAAAAATCTATGGGGACCTAATCATGATATTTGAATATTTTCTAAATTATAAGAAAGAAAAAGGTAAATTTCCTATGTCCTAATTTCAGGGCTTTGAGCCAGTTCTTCCCGGTTCAATCATGGCTGCAAAAGCAACACTGGAATAGAGCCGAATTTTTAATGTAGGTGAACTGGAAAAATTATGGGTAGAAGCCCTGCAAGAAACGTAATCTCCCTTTTGGAAAACAAGGGCAGCGTATGCGTTGCATAACAACCTAATCTCTTGCTGGTTTGATTTTGCACAGAGTTGGAAGCAGCTTGCCCCACTCAAAGATGGCAGTGGATCATGTCGCTTTGAATGTGTGTCACTCTCCTCAGTCCTGGCAATAATCCAGTCTCACACATCAGGCTCCTGAAAGGGCTCACTACACCTCTTCCAAGTCTCCCATTCCAGGGCTTCAACCGGTAATTTTTCCCTTTTCGGTTGTGGTTCCAAATCACTCGAATTTTAAAAATTCATGTCTGTTCTGGTTTTGCTTCACTGGCCATGACTGAACCAGTCTGAACTGGTTCGAAGCCCTGACTAATTTTTACTCTCAAACCAACAAAAAATAGTTACCTAAGAGAAACTCTGGAGCTTGTTCAAATTCTAGTTCATCACTATTCAACATAATATTTCTAGGCAGATCAGCCAAAATCAAGTCAGGAGCGATCTGAGATATTGGAATGGTGAGCCTTGGTTGATCTGGATTTATTAAGAGGTCTCCTGGAAAGTAGATAAAAGATTAAAAGAAAAAAAAACTTCTAAGTGTATAAATAAATTCATGCTTTTGACTTACTAAAATGATTACCTATCTATAATTTCTAATCCCTCCCTTATGTTTTACTATCGATCTCATTCTTCTCTAGAAAACTTGAGAAAATTTTAAAGGTTCATTCAACATCTATTTACTTGGAATTTTTAAAAATCCATTTCCTAGGCTAACTCAATCAGAACTGCCTTAGGCTATGTGACAAATGACTAGGAGGGAAGATATCCAGTCTCTGTTTCTGCCACATTTTTGGAGTACTTATTATATAAAAAGGAACCCTGATGGCACAGTGGTTAAGCACTAAGCTGCTAACCGAAAGGTCAGAGATTCGAACCTACCAGCCACTCCGTGGGAGAAAGATGTGGCAGTTTGCTTCTGTAAAGATTTACAGGCTTGGAAACCTTATGGGACAGTTCTACACTGTCCTATAGGGTTGCTATGAGTCAGAATCGACTCGACAGCAATGGGTTATTATATAACAGGCACACTGGTAAGTTCCTTCAATGTATTGTCTCTTTTAATCCTCACAACAAGTCTATGAGGTAGGCTTAGTATCCTCATTTTACAGATGAGGTTATGCTGCTTAATGAGACAGTATTCAAACCTTCAAGCCAATATCTTTTCTGAATTGAGAACATAAAATCTTGGTGTTTTACTGGTAATAAATATAATCTATTTTTCTGAACTGTCACTACAATTGAAATCAGTAACTTTCAATTCATCCATTATGGATAAGAATAATTTTACATTTATTACAAAAGTTAGTTCACAAATATGGAAGGATCACTTAAAAACACTTTTAGGTTGCATCAGCACATACCTTCTTCTGCTTTCTTCATTAGGTCATCCAGTAAGATTTTTTGATGCTCTTCACCATCATTAAAACTATACAATGCCCATTTCTTCAGCAGAGTTTCTCCTTCACCACAAATATCAATTTCCAGTAGCCCAGGAAACCATTCCTCCATGAGAGAATCAATGTGATCCACGACTTGGCCCAAAAGAATACAGCCTATACAATCCAAAAAAGAATTCATCAACACCCTGTCTACACCTCATACTGCTGCAAAGATAGAAAACGGGGGCTGCATAGTGAAGAGAAATGTTTTGATTTCTTTAGTCATACAATTCCAGGTTTTTAAATTCATTTCCTTACCTTTTCTACAAGAAGGAACTGTAATTTTTAAGAAACTTTCTGGGTGATAATCTAAGACTTCGGATCCTACCAGGCAATAAGCTTCAGGAGACCAATTCAAGTAGATGCCTTGTCGCCAGTACATTCTGTTTGGGCGAAGTGCTCGTTCTGAAGGAAGTTTAAAAGGACTCAAATGTATCCATTAATTGTTAACTATTTCATATAGTAAACAAAAAAATACTGCACACACAGGTAACATGAATGCAGATCAGTTTGTTTTGAAGGACTGTATTGGGATCTTTAATGATACATCCAGAGTTCTCATTCATACCTATTAAATGTATTAAATATTTTATCTTTACTTTTGCAATAAAATAAATACCAGTGGACAGCCGAAGATACATTTCAGGCCCATGGTGTTAAGTAGTTTAACGTGCTTAATAGATGAAGAAAGAGAATCATAAGTTCTCATAACTTTTCAAAAGAAATTGGTTATCATGCTCAAACCAAAACTTCTTGAATGTTTTAATATAGTATAACTATCTATATCTTGATTAACACCATGTGAAAGAAGGTTTATTTCAGAATACAGTAACATCTGCATAAATCTGAATTTTACAAAAAAAAAAAAAAAGATGTTTTCCTTTTGGAGCACTAAAACATCTTTCTCCCAAAAGGAAGAACTAGTGTTATAAATGTTTTTTTTTTTTTTTCCTTTGCCATAAATCCCTCAGGGATTGTGCAGTAGAATAGGGCTATTACAATACCTGCCCTGAATGCCTGAGATCTGTTACATTTGTTGAGTTTATGCATCTTTAAAAAAAAAAAAAAACTTTCCCTCACCGCCTTGACTATTCAATGGCCATTTCTTGCTTTCATTTGTTCTACTTCTTTTGTTTTGTATGTTTAAACCAATGATTCTCTCTAGCAATCCCCACCTTTTAAAATTGCTGCTTCTAGTTTGCTTTGGTTTGGAAAGCAAGATATTCATACTTGTTGGAGCTATGTCTAAAAATAACATATGGACTTAGAACGAGGACCTGAGAATTTTCTTCCTGACACATTGCATGAGTTTATATGTGCACATGTGTCTTTATACTGGCCACTGAGGTCATATGGGCTTATATTCTGATTTTCAGCTGCCTTGAAAAGAAATAATTAAACTCTGGAAAATGGCGTATTATTAACTTTAATATGTTTTTCCCCAATCTCTCTAAATACTATGTGTGCACAAAATACATACCTCTTCCTGAAAGCATGTAAGGTGAAATTTCAAGTAATCGATTGATTAATCTAGACCAAAATCCCATTGGAAAATAAGGCATTTCATACAGTCGAATAATAATCTCTGAGTTCTCACAATGGGGAAGCTCTATCACAGGCCTGTGATCAGACAAACTAAAGGAAAGGACACCATCATTACACAGCTTCATAAGAGAATCAATGTAATCGATAAAGATAAATGTGTGAAGCAATTGTACTTGTTTTGTAATTTTTTTTGCTGCATGCTCTTTTTATGTAAAAGATTCAGTGGTCATTTAATCAATTGAAATGTATGCTCAACTGTAATAAATGTATGAAATTTTTTCAGTAATTCTATGTACACTAATATATAAATCATTACAATTACTTTATATAGGCAAACATTTAGGGGGTTATATAAAACTTGAAAACAAATACATGTCCTAGAAAAATAAAAGCATATCTATTGTTAGAATTGGCTGCCATCCATTCATCAACGCAATTTGTATTTTTCAGTGTCATATTACTTTACAACATTTACAACATTTCCCATGTGCTTATAAAGCAATATGAGAAAATTCTACAAGACACGGTTAGAACTTAGGCCTCTATTGTGATATCTTTCTCCTCTGACAATTCTCTGCCATAATTACTTTCTCAGTACTATATATATATATGTATTCATATATGTATATATGTAAAATAATCTCTACTATTTACCTTTCTTAAATAATTATTTCTTAAATAATTTAAGCAATCTTAAAGCAAAGAGTAATTATATACATAAAATAAGCCATTATTGTGTTTTGTACTTGACTCCTTTGCAGATTCACCTTAACCATATTGCAATATTTTAGAAGTCATTTACTGTATCTTTAAAGTATCAAATGCAGTGTTTTCATTAAAAGCAAATGCTAGACTTCAGTAAAAAGCTGACACAAAAAGCAAAACACAAAATATATTTAATCATATATCACAGACCAAAGTTACTTTGATGATTAAAACAATATAATAAATGGTGAATTTCCACACAGTAATTATATTTTTAAGTTTTGAGTTACCTGCTTGGAACCAGCAAATATTCTTCTCCTATTGGCAAGGCAATCTGGAATTTTTCTAGGAGTTTAAAGTACTGTGACATGTAGTTCTTTGGAAATCTCCTTTTCTTTGAAAGGAACTTTTCCACATCTCTACGTGAAATAATTCCCTTAGGATGTTTCGGATAGCCTTCCACTTTCACTGTCAAAATCTGAAAGATTTAAACTCATAATCACTAGCATTCTTTTTTTTTTTAAATTGTGCTTTAAGTGAAAGTTTACAATTCAACTTAGTTTCTCATACAAAATTTACACACACATTGTTATGTGACCCTCTTTGTTCTCCCTATACTGTGACAGCACACTCCTCCCTTCCACCCTGGATTTCCTGTGCCCATTCAACAATCTTCTGACCCTCTCTGCCTTCTCATCTCACCTCCATACAAGAGCTGCCCATTTACTCTCATGTATCTACTAGAGCTAAGAAGCACACTCTTCATGAGTATCATAGAATTCATTTTTTTTTAAGAGCTCAGGATTTAATGTCTCTTTGCTCAGTGAAAATGATCAGAACAATTTTAATATTGTAAAGTACAGCAGGGGACCTAATCTCTCCAGTAGCCTTGTAGCCTAGAAGCCCAGCTGGGCATCATCCCTCCAACCTATCTTCACCATGCTATGCCACACCATGGCCAGCAGTAGATTTCTCCACCTCTTCCTCTTGCAAAAGTGGACAATTCTGGGCCTCCAATAAACCTTGAAAATCCCTGAAGAATACCTCCTCTTCTCATTTCCTTAAGGTTAGGAACTATGCCTTATTCATCCGTTTATTCCCCATACCATAGAGAAGTTGGCCTACCTCATGCCTGAACACTCCCCAAAAATACATTGTTGAATAAAGAGAATTAATTTGGATCAGAAATTACTGAGACCCTCTGAAACCAAAGAACCTTGAACTTTCCTTAACTCAATCTGATACCACATATTTTTATAACAACAATATATTCCTAGGGAAATTATATTTCAGACTGTGCTATCGCTAGAAGTTTGCAATAGAAATATCACTTTACGTTTATATAATAGGAGATGGCTTCCAGCAATGGTAAATGAGGCAGTGTAGCACAGTTTAGAGACTCTCAAAGTAACAACTGCATCTTTCTGGACTCTGCTCCCAGAATCTAGGTCAGTAGCTTAGGGTGAGGCTGGGAATTTGCTTTTCTAACAAGTAACCCAGATGATTCTGATGCAGATACCATTCTTGCTTTGGTCATTGTTACAGCAAATAAAAATAAAAGCCAGAAGAACCCAGGTTAAAATCCAGGCTCTGCTTCTTACTAGCTGTGTGACCTTGGGGAAAGGCATTTAATTTCTTCAACTTACACTTTCCTTCCCTGTAAAATGAGATAATAAAAGTGATTGTGTCTTAGACTGATGTGAGAATAAAATAAGATAAAGTATGTAAGGTATGCAAAACACTTATAACTTTTAGTGCAGAGTAAGCCCTCATGTGCTAGCATTATTATCTACTTAAGTATTTTAATGTGGCAAATTCATTTTAACAAGTGGTTTATGCTTGATTTTTTTAAATGAGATAATTCTTGAAAAGCACTGACAACAGCACCAGGCATACGGGAAGCATTAAGAATCATTAATTTTTAGTTATTTGTGGTAGATAGTTTTGAAAGATAGCCGCCATTGATTCCTTCTCTCTGTATGTGCGTGCTGCTCAATACATCAGAAAGTAGAGTCCATTTCCCCTCCCTTGAATCTGGGCTGGCCTTGGGCTTGTTCTGACCACTAGAATGTGGCAGAAGTGACATTTTACCAGGCCTGTGTCTAGCTTTTAAGAGGACTGGCAACTTCTGCTTCCTTCCTTTTGGAAGCCAACTACAATGTACGATGTCTGATTCCTCAAAGACTGTCATGCGGTGAGGAAGTCCAAGGTAGCCATATGGGAGACCACAGGGAGAAACATGAAGACACCAGAAGTGCAAGTGTGGCCTTTTTTGGACCTTCCAGCCCAACTCAGATGAATGGAGCCAACTGAATGAACCTAGCCAACACCATGTGGAGCAGAACCACTCAGCTGAGCCCAGTCAACCCACAGAATTGCAAGAGACAATAAATTGTTGATGTTTCATACCTCCAAATTTTGGAGTAGCTTGTTACATAGCAATAAAACAAAGAAACATTCTCTTAATGTTGTCAGCTTTTAAAAGACTTCCTAACGTTCCTTCAGCCTAGCAACTTGTATTGCTAAATTATGCTCTTATTCCAGAAAAGGATTTTCCAAATTCCTCTGTATTTCTTGCACATATATTTACCAGAATTAAATTTCCATGCAAGCTTTTTAATTCTCCACATGATTAATTCAATAAATCGCTTTCATATCTCTTTCATCATAGAGCTAAATGGTTTTTGCAAACTTCTCTATGCCTTGATGGAACCTTCTTCAACAAGTGTAGTGACCTAACAGCTTGGGGCACTTAGAGAGTAGGTGGGCTCATTAGAGCTCTACATCATGAAGTTACTTCTGCCCTCGCCTTGATGACTCATGGAGGTGAATACCACCATTTATTTTTGCTGATGTGTGTCAGACAAGTGGTTCTTGTTTTCACTTGGTTATTTATAACTTTCATTCTCTTTAAAGCTTCATGAAAATGACATTACATTTCAATTTATCAGCATAAATAAAAATGTTTTTTTTACATTAATAAGAAATTTAAAGTATCCTTTAACTGACCCTTTTGATCTGTCTTTTAAAGTAATTTTGAGTTTTCAAATTCTTGACTTAATTTTCACTTAAATTAGCATGCTTATAGTATAATTATGCTAATAAGAAGAAAAACTTTCATGGTGTTTTAGTTTAATTACCCCACAGACTCTTCAGGGATTTCATTGCAGTCATAGTGCCTGCTGCTTGGAAATCTGCTTTTTTTAAAAAAGCTCCCCAGGTGATTCTGATGCAAACCATTACTGAATAAGGTACTCCCACCCTCATATTAACCAGAGGTGTCCAACTTTAAAAGTTTCCAAATGCACATGGAAGTACACCACTTTTTAATGTAATCTTAGCTCTTTCTCAATAATACATAATTCGATTTGTTTCTCCACCTAGAACAGCAAAATCTTCAGGGTATATTTAAAAATCATTTTGCTGTACTGGATGTATCTATTGACACATATTTTTGATTTGGCACCATACCTGGCACACTCTCTAAAACTATATGAGCGCATCTTCACTGTTTAAAAAATAATAAGCCTTAAATTACCAAATACGTCAATTATAAAAGTAGTCAACATTTATTACTCATGCTAAACTGAAGCAATGTGCTAATAGCCTCACATATATCATCTCATTTAATCTCTTTAACAATCCTAACATTGTTATTATCACTATTTTATAAAAGAAGAAAGGAAGGCTTAAAAATTTAAGAAGCATTCTAAGGGTTGCAACATTAGTGTTTAGAAGAGATCTGAACACAAGTCAGACTGATTCTAGAGCTTGTGCTCTTGACCACTGTACTCTATTGGCCATTATCAGTTAGTAGATGAATGAAATCACACTTTCTGTAATATATGTGCAGAAGGATGAAAATCTAACTTAAAAATATCTACCAAAATATTACTAACTGACATTACCATTAATTCCCAATTATAATAATGTTTTGATATGCTCTCAAGTTCCGTGTTGCAGGATTTAAACCTAACTGAGTTCCTTTTTCAAAATATCTTCCATTTTTCCCCCTTAGACGGAATTGAGCTAGTCTGATTTAAGATTATCTGAGGAAACTTAATTGCCATTACGGTTTAACTGGGAGGGATGCTTCTTCCTTTCTCTTTTTTTTTTTTTCCACCTGGGAAAACCTGATTTATTATGTCTTGGTATGACTGACTTATTGCACAGTGGGCATAGTGCCTAAGTCCCACAAATGTTTTTTGTGGGGAAGGATATTTCTAATGTAAGAAGGTATAATCATTTTAGGGCTCAGGGAGTTTTATGTAAAACTATCAATTATACTCAAAAACAAAAGAATTGACAATGAGTATACATGCTAGAGACATTCTCCCCCAGCTCACCCCAGTTCATGACTAAGTTAAAAGCAATGGTTCTTAATAGGGGTGATTTTTTTCCCCTAGGGGACATCTGTCAATGTCTGGAGCCATTTTTGCTTGTCGTAACTGGGAAGGTGCTACTGGCATCTAGAGGGTAGAGTCCTACAATGCACAAAAAAGAATTATCTGGCCCAGAATGTCAATAGTACCAAGGCTGAGAAACCCTGAGCTACAGTGTTCTGCTCAAGTGGTTTTCTATAGCAAACCTATAGAGCTGGATTATTACAACTAATCAATATAAACTCATAATTAATGGAATATCATTGAGAAAAGAAATCATTTTTCATACGAAATATAAATGAGGAAAAGGTAGCCATAACCACCAGTGTGTAAAGTTTTCAAAATTGTGAGAGTTTAGAGATCAGACCAATTAATTAGATTCCACTCAAGAGTCAAAACTCTCCTCCATGCTGTCTAGATAAA